GTCTTATTATGGAAGGCCATGTCTGCCAAATAAGAAAAAAAAATACTTTGTTAAATCATAATTATGAAAATTACGAGATACTAATTCATTATGAGATTAAAAATTCACAGTCATAATTATAGGTACTAAGCCATAATTATTTTAAGATATATTAATATATTAAGATAAAAAGTCAAAATGATGAGCTATACTAAGCCTTTATGACATACTTTTTATCTCATAATTTCAACTTTCTCATGATTATGGCTTAGTATATGTCATAACTTCGAATTGATGTCAAAATTATGAATTACCAAAGCGTGATTTTTTATTTTTACTTGGCAGAAATGGGCTTTCATGTATTAGAGATATTATTTGACAGTAAAAAAAAAAAAAAAAAATTCAAGAATTAATGATTTAAGCATTGGAAAATCTGCAAATGGAAATCTGCCACAGCAGAATCTGCACAATGATTATAAATAAATAAATAAATAAAATGCTTAAGTATTACAAATGAAATTCAAGGGGCCAAAAGAATAGACCCTATACATATTTTCAGAAGGTTATATAAGGTTGAAAAGATTATGAGGGTTTCAAAAGATTCAATAGCCTCCTAATAATTACTAAATTTAATTGCACAAATCCAGCAGTGCTGGGAAAATCGTGTTATGACATCTGCATCAGGATGTTGTTTATGTGGCTACATATTTGATAATGAGCCACAAACACATGCAGGAAATTCATGCCTCATCTCTCAAATCAACTGAATGAAACAGTTACTTGAAGTCAATCTGCTAAATGTGTTTGTTTACAGTCTAAAAGATATGATCTGATATTTGCAGCTTGTATGCCTCGACCCAGATCAGGGATCTTGAGACGTAGTCGAACAGTAATATTGTGACAGTGTCATTGTCAGTAATATTGTCACAGTAACATTGTGTTGCCTTTCACTGTTTGAATAGGAGTACGATTAAATTTTTTTTTTTAAACCCAAATAAATAAAAGCACTTTGTCTAGACGTTTATGAATGTATTTTTCTTGTGGTGGCACTTTATGACCCAGCTCGCAACTCGGTTTGTATTCACGCTTACTTTGGCATCCTGTCAACCTTTACTATACTGTCCTCTCATGCGTACAGTGCCACTATTTGCTTTTTAAATCATCCAGTGCCGGCCGTCAGAGATGTAAGTGTATTTGGTGACTCTATCTGAACTTCACTTCCTAATCTAGTTTTAAATACGACTTCCAGGAAAACTGGCCGTTGCTATCAGATTACAATGTGCCACACCATTTGGATGCCATTGATCCAGAGGTCGTATTGCGCAGCTCGTAATCGTCATTGTTGTTTTAGCCATTGTGTTTATGCCACTCCCATTTATATTATTAATGTGTCATAAAGAAAGTGATGCTACCTGTGTCTGCTTGAATTACTTAAACTGTTCAGATGGCTGATCCTAATACAAACATACACTAGCAATCAAATGTTGAACGTATGTTCCTCGTGATCTTAAATTCGGACAAATATAAACAACGAATGTGTGTATTTCTTTACAAACCTAACATTTTAATTAGTTTAGTTTGAATTATTTAAAAAGACATGATTTGGACTGGATAGTGAACAAAAAATCAACCAAAAAACATCCCTGTTAAAAAAAGAAAAGAAAAGTACAATCAACTTGGATATTTAATTCATTTCAACTTAAATTACATTAAACTGCGTTGAATCTTGTAGAACTTATAAAAAAAGGTTGAAAATTGCTTAACTTATTTTGATGAGTTAAAGCAATGTAAAAAACAACAACAACATTTGTTGTCATAACTTGTAAGATGCACTTTTTTTATTCCTGCATAATGCATTTTTTATACAATTAAATCGATAATGTCAAATATGTATATTTTTCAAAATACTATCATTTAAAAAATGTACAAAATAAATGCAATAAAAGTAATAATAAAGATCTAGAATAACGTTTGCACTGCACGATGTCAGATTTCTTTGCATGTTTTTTTGTGCCTCTCAGTGCTGTTTGCAGACAGTTTAATTTCTTTCTTTCAAAATGTCAATATGCTGTGTGCATATGCCTGATTTTATTTATTTTTTCTCTTCACGTCAAGCTCCTGTAGCATCCATTCCTTTTTATTTAGTCCGTTACAGGCAGGGGGGACAGTCCTTTTTAGTTTCTGTGGTTGAGTGTGTTTGGCAAAGAGGTAGGCTATTGGAGAAGTGCCCTAGCAGGTGTCTGGAAAGTACCAGGTTTTACACTAATAACAGAACCTTTTAGAATTTTTTTTTTTTTCTCCCTCCACTGTTCTCATAGTAAACAAATGAGGAGTGAGCAACCTGCTGTGGGGAAGCAGATCTGTCTTTTATTTGCATGGCTTTGGGTGTTATCTCAGACTTGAGGCTAAAACTACCTCAGTATATATATATTTCTCTAAAGTAGGCATGAAACACAAGTTGCAATAGTCTTTTCTTCCCTATTGTGATGCATATACGAGTGAAAAGACTTATCGCATGAGAAAAAAATGTTGGGCGGGACTTGATTTTGTCCATGGGGAATTGATTGGATGGTTGTGGTTTGCTATTGGTCGATCTCATGTGAGTGACAGGTTGCTACGCCCTCATGCCAGTAAACACATCATCAGAGAAGAGAAGAGATGTTGCTGCAAGACTCTAATTCTAATTAAAGATTACATGAAGGTAAAATAATGATGTGCACGGATACATCATTTATGATAAATACTGCAATATTCCATAAAAAATAACTTACTGAACATGCTCTTAATTGGATGGTTTAGTCTTGGGTTACTCTTGGTGAAGTCATCATTATAAGCAAACTAATAGTCTATCTAAATGCCATATTGTCCTATATAAACATAAAATGGCATTTATAAGATAATAAATAAATAGATGGATTTACCTATACTTGGATGTTACTTAAAGAGATTATACACTCACCTAAAGGATTATTAGGAACACCTGTTCAATTTCTCATTAATGCAATTATCTAATCAACCAATCACATGGCAGTTGCTTCAATGCATTTAGGGGTGTGGTCCTGGTCAAGACAATCTCCTGAACTCCAAACTGAATGTCAGAATGGGAAAGAAAGGTGATTTAAGCAATTTTGAGCGTGGCATGGTTGTTGGTGCCAGACGGGCCGGTCTGGGTATTTCACAATCTGCTCAGTTACTGGGATTTTCACGCACAACCATTTCTAGGGTTTACAAAGAATGGTGTGAAAAGGGAAAAACATACAGAATGCGGCAGTCCTGTGGGCGAAAATGCCTGGTTGATGCTAGAGGTCAGAGGAGAATGGCCCGACTGATTCAAGCTGATAGAAGAGCAACTTTGACTGAAATAACCACTCGTTACAACTGAGGTATGCAGCAAAGCATTTGTGAAGCCACAACACGCACATCCTTGAGGCGGATGGGCTACAACAGCAGAAGACCCCACCGGGTACCACTCATCTCCACTACAAATAGGAAAAAGAGGCTACAATTTGCAAGAGCTCACCAAAATTGGACAGTTGAAGACTGGAAAAATGTTGCCTGGTCTGATGAGTCTCGATTTCTGTTGAGACATTCAGATGGTAGAGTCAGAATTTGGCGTAAACAGAATGAGAACATGGATCCATCATGCCTTGTTACCACTGTGCAGGCTGGTGGTGGTGGTGTAATGGTGTGGGGGATGTTTTCCTGGCACACTTTAGGCCCCTTAGTGCCAATTGGGCATCGTTTAAATGCCACGGCCTACCTGAGCATTGTTTCTGACCATGTCCATCCCTTTATGGCCACCATGTACCCATCCTCTGATGGCTACTTCCAGCAGGATAATGCACCATGTCACAAAGCTCGAATCATTTCAAATTGGTTTCTTGAACATGACAATGAGTTCACTGTACTAAAATGGCCCCCACAGTCACCAGATCTCAACCCAATAGAGCATCTTTGGGATGTGGTGGAACGGGAGCTTCATGCCCTGGATGTGCATCCCACAAATCTCCATCAACTGCAAGATGCTATCCTATCAATATGGGCCAACATTTCTAAAGAATGCTTTCAGCACCTTGTTGAATCAATGCCACGTAGAATTAAGGCAGTTCTAAAGGCGAAAAGGGGTCAAACACAGTATTAGTATGGTGTTCCTAATAATCCTTTAGGTGAGTGTACAATAGCTAAATGAGTGCAGTTTTCTTTCCTGTGTCCCTTTTGGGTTTTCCTAATTTTTTTTTTTTTTCGCTAATCCGTTAAACTCAGGGGCTGTTTTACACGACACCGTTTTCAACTAAAAACGTAAAACTTTTTATGCGTTTTTTTGGCCGTTTGACAAAGATCGACAATGGCGTTGTGGGTGCCTGAAAACGCAAACTTTTTGAAAACGGGTTTCAAAGTGCAAGTTTTTGAAAACAGTCTCCGTGTAAACAACAAAAACGCGAATCTCTGAAGACGATGACTTCATGCACACGAGTATTACGTATTCAGTCTATAGTGTATCATCGCCATCTAATGGCCTGGCAGCAGAATACAGCGTTTTTAGTCGTTTTCGTGGATCCGTGTAAATGGGAATTGTTTTGACAATGGTGTCGTCTGTTCGCGAAAAACTTCTCTGTTTTAAGCATATCGTTGTCGTGTAAACGTACCCTTAGATGTACGAATCTGATATAGCAGTGGTCGTATACTGCCTCCTAGTGGTGTGGATGTAGCATCATGTCAAAGCAAAAGTTTACCAGTGCCATACAAAGGCATAATTCACAGTCAGTCATGATTCATTTATACCACAAACGTTAGGTTCCAATAGCAGGACAGGGGTGCTTGCTGGGATAAAACTAGCAGTATTCGGCTGGTCATGTGATCTCAACATGTCTGTCCCCATGAGGAGACCCACTCCCATGTAAAATAAAGCTGGCGTTATCAGGCTACTAATATGACTGGAGTCTTCATCTCTTTTGACTGAGCATGATATTTTTCCAAAGTACTATTCATCTCTTTATATCTTTTTTTTTTTTACTTTTTAATAAGTGACTGAGTGCACCTTTAAACGATCAATCACCTTAAACTTTTAATTCAGGTAGCCTATTATACGCGTGGTTACTCAGCATCAAAAGTGTGGTTAGACTTAACCAAAAACGGTGTTTTCGCAACTTCAGTAGGGTAAATATTTTGCGTTCTCTGCAGCGTAAACAAAGGCAGGTCTGAGTGAATGAATTTGAGTACTCGTAATCCTGGGTGAAAACAAACACAGCCCTCCCCTCTGCGGAAGCTCTACTGTACTTTATCAGCTGCTGGTTTACTGCCTCCAAGGTGGTTTTGTTCCTCATTGCACATGCACCCGCATGTCTGAGTCAGTGTCATGTTTGCTCTGTGTGTGTGTTTTGCTCGTTCAGTACGATGCTGCTCCCATCCAGCCTAGCGTGGCGTTGTGTTCCTGTGCTTCTTCATCAATGGTAAGGACTCAGCTCAACTCCAGCCTTCCTCACTGTCTCAGTATGGAGGTCCGCGGGGGTGAGGCAAGCGCCCAGCCGAAGACATCGACCCTCAAACCTCCACAATCACGCAAGAAGGAGGACTTCAGCTTTGGCAAAATTTTAGGAGAGGGTTCCTTCTCGACGGTGGGTACAATTTGTGTGATTTTGCAATGAAAGATTTAATCATTAGCAATTTAACAACTACATTTGAGGACCAAACAGCCAGTATAGTGACCGATATTTTTGTTAGTTGAATAACAATAAAGTTTTACGATGATGGCTCCATTGATTTGTTGTAATAGCTGAACACATTTCAATTGCAGGTTGTGCTTGCAAAAGAACTTGCCACAGGAAAGGAATATGCAAGTAATGGGCAATTTATGTTATATATAAATGTATCATAGTAGTAATATATTAAATGAACCACACTGATGTCATTTGAAATGTGTTTTTCAGTGAAGATTCTTGAGAAGAATCACATCAGGAAAGAGAATAAAGCACACTATGTGTTCAGAGAGAAGGATATATTGTCAAGCATAGATCATCCCTTTTTCGTAAAGCTCTACTTCACGTTTCAAGACTCGCATAAACTTTGTATCCTTTTGGGGAGGAAGGGTGTTGAGCTGTGAAGCTATGAAATCAGGTCTGTGTTTGTTGAACTCATTATTACTTTGTTAAAATGTTCTTAACTTCTAATCCGTCAGATTTCGCCCTCAGTTATGCAAAGAATGGAGAACTACTTAGATACATTCGCAAAATAGGCTCATTTGATGAGACTTGCACGAGGTTCTACACTGCTGAGATAGTTTGTGCACTCGAGTATTTGCACGCACTGGGAATTATTCACAGGTAATTCGACTAACAATATGAGCTTGATTGAAATCATCCGTGATGCATTTTTGAATATGCATTTATTTGTTTTTATTTAGGGACCTTAAGCCAGAGAACATCTTACTGAGCGAAGACATGCACATTCATATTACGGATTTCGGGACAGCGAAACAGTTGTCTTTGGACAGCTCTCAAAGTAACGTATAGTTCATGAATATTTCATTGAATTGCTTTGCTCTGGTTGTTGTTGTTGTTGTTTTTTTCATAACGACTGTCGTTAACTTCCTTCAACCCCCCTGTAGGTCAGGCATGAAGTGTTTGTTATCTATAGATACACTCACAACAGTACTCAAGTAGCATAAATATGGGACAGTCTATCATTTTTCTTCATGCACATATGAGTTGTCAGCAGGGTTACGGACCCTGAAGGGGACAGTATGTGATGATGTTTGTCCCACCTGAATGTGAACCTGAAAGATTTGTCTTTCTTTACAGCAAGAGCCAATTCTTTTGTTGGCACTGCACAGTACGTTTCTCCGGAGCTGCTGACGGAAAAATCAGCCTGCAAAAGGTTTGGGCATTTAATGTGCAATAGCGCAATATTACTACCAGATTAAGATGTTAGTCAATTGCATCAAATTAGTTTTTTTTATTTTCTGTGATGTTCCTCTTTTAGTTCGGACCTCTGGGCACTGGGTTGCATAATCTATCAGCTGGTGGCCGGATTACCTCCGTTTAGAGCTGGGTGAGTTACTGATCAATTCAGATTTAGTTCAATTAAACGTTTTTAATAATGCTTTGCACTACAGCCGAAGTGCTGGTGGTTGATCACTGTTGTAATTGCAGTTTTTAAAAACATGGTGTGAAATAACAGGAAATGTTGGCTTTGGTGTTTATGACTTGTTTGTGTAGACAGTACAGAGGGCTTCTGAGGAAACCCCAACCACTGGGTCACATGACCCGCTTGCAGTTTTGGTTACATTACAACCAATAAATTGGCTAGGACAGCCTTTGAAAACAAAACACTTGAACCATGAGACTGTAAATGAACCCTTTCCTTCTCTCAACTGATTATTAAGAGCTCTTCAGTTGTGAGACTACAAACCGTTCAGTTGATATTGATTTGGTTGAGTTAGTGATTTACTTTTGTCTTTTAATAGGAACGAGTACTTGATTTTCCAAAAGATAACAAAGCTGGAATATGAATTTCCTGAGAAGTTCTTCCCCAAAGCTAAAGATCTGGTTCAGCGACTGTTGGTAATAATAGTTTGATTTCATTACATACCTTCACTTTCAGTTGATATGAAGAAAATTCATTGTTTATGCCTGGTTTCAGTCTTTGGACCCTAGAAAGCGGCTAGGATGTGAGGAAATGGGTGGGTTCAATCCACTAAAAGGCCACATGTTCTTTGAGACAATCTCATGGGAGAATTTGCCGGTTCAGATCCCACCCAAGCTGACCCCTTACCTACCAGCCATGGCTGAAGATGATGAAGACTACTATGGCAATGTTAGTTAGACTTATCTTGCATATTATCCACTATTCTGTGCTAAATTACTGTCTTTTGTGCTTTTTTTGGTGTTATTTTTTCCCTTGCTTTTGTTTTATTGTTGCGTTGTTGTTGTTGTTTTTTTACTTTTTATTTAGTTTTTTGTTTTTATTTATTGTTGTGGTTTTTTTAAACCTTTTTGTTTTTTTCTTTGGACTTTTTGTTTTGTTGTTGTTTTGTTTGGGCTTTTTGTTTTAGTGTTGTGTTGTTTTTGGTTGGGAGCTTTTGTTTTGTTGTGTTTTTTTGTTTGGTCTTTGTTTTGTTGTTTTTTTGTTTGGGCTTTTCGTTTTGTTTGGACCTTTTGTTTTGTTTTGTTGTTTTTAATCAGAATTGACCTCTTATTAAATGTCCTACATTACGGATAGCATTTCATGTTTTCTTTAAAGTCTGCTTTAAATCAAAACTGACCCTATTTACTTTGTTTGCGCACATAACCAGTATTGTGGTGAACAAATAATCTGTGCAGAGAAAAAATGTTTTTGTCGTAATCTTTAGTTAAAATCCTTTAGAATGGCGTTCTTTCTCTAATGGGCAGAGAGTCCTTAAACGCTCCCCTCCAGCCCCTGACAGTCGGCTGTAAGCTAGAGATGGCGAGGAAGTGCGCTAAAATCAAGCTTCACTCTTATTTTTTTCACATTCAGTGATCCTCAGAATTACGTCACAGTATTTTAGTAAAGTCGGCCACAACCACCGGTTAAATAAAGTTAAATATTTAAGTGTATATGTTCAGTTAATGGTACAAATTGTGAGCTCTGAATTGCAGGCTCACTGGGTCTTGTCACTGTGTACTGATTTGCTGTTTGCTTTGGATCCCACAGTATGAAGATCTCCTCAGTCAGTTCAGCAGCCTGCAGGTGGTTCCATCCAGCTCATCTCAGATCGTCCCACTGAGACCCTGCAGCAACATTGAGCAGTACATCCATGACCTGGACAGCAACTCCTTTGAGCTGGACCTGCAGTTCTCCAGTGAGGAGAAACGACTTCTGCTGCAGAAGCAAACAAGAGGCAACCCTTGGTATGTCACAACCTTCATTCAGAAATTAGTTGTCCTGCTCATAAACCTTCATTCTGGTTAAATATTAAATGATCATCCTGTAATGACAGCACAGTTAAACACATATTTATTTTGTTATTATACATAGTTAGGGATTGTGTGGGTGTATGCACTAATAATGATTAGTTTTTATCTCACGCATTTCCTGTTGAGTTGTTTTATTGCATGTTGTAAAAGGAACTCTTGATCATTATAGTTCTGTTTTCAATCGGTCAACAACACGGGTAGCACTGCCAGCTTGTTATTCATTAACATTTGTGTGGTTTTTTTTCTGTTTCAAAGGCACCAGTTTGTTGAAAATAACTTGATATATAAAATGGGACCAGTTGACAAAAGAAAGGTAACATTTTCCATCCTGTTTCTTATCTTATATGGTATGAAACAGGTGCATGTTTTTAAAAAAAATATTTAAGTGTTAAGTGAGAAAACAAATAGCGCCCTCTTTTGGCTTCCTTTGGTAAGTGTTTTTAACCCTTTCTTGTTTGTCATTTTCACAGGGACTGTTTGCTCGACGCCGTCAGCTTTTACTGACTGAAGGACCACATCTGTATTACGTGGATCCTGTGAATAAAGTACTGAAGGGGGAAATTCCATGGTCTCCAGAGTTGCGCCCCGAAGCCAAGAATTTCAAGACGTTTTTTGTCCACACGGTACAAATTATAGTTATTATAGGTATACATAGTTAAATATATAGCTATTTTTTATAAGCATTTGCCTAATAGGCAGTGCTTCTCTGGGAGCTTCAGTTGTAGTATCATGGTACTTTGATAAACACATCATACTGAATGATTACTAAATATCATTTATAAGCCATAGTGCACATGGTGCAAAAAGCATGGTAATATCATGGTACTTCTTGGAACTTTTTCGAAATGCTGCTAAATCTTGTCATTGTTTTCCTCATATGCAGCCAAACAGGACATACTATCTAATGGATCCCAGTGGAAACGCAGACAAATGGTGTAAGAAGATTCAAGAGGTCTGGGGAACCATTTATCACTAACATAAGACTACTGGCATGACTGGTCATCAGAGGACCACTGGAGTCAAGGCAAGTCTGAGAGGTCTGAGCACCTCCACCATTCAACTACCAAACAGGAAGATCTTTTCATTTATGGGACTAGTGCATCAATATTTCTTCTTGAAGACAAAATATGTTTTGCTTGCAGTGTTTTTGTCATGTTCAGCAGTTGTAACATGAAATCAAAGATCAGTAAAACTCAGCAAATCCACAACTTGTACACTTTATGTGTATATATATATATATATACATAGGAAAATATCCACAAAAGCTTGGGGGGGAAAAAACACTCATAATCTGTTGCCTTTTAAATAATAATAAGAGCGCTTTAGGATAGCTGTAGAGGACACTGAAAATGATCCTACAGGTCAAGTAAATATTAAATTGATACACAAATCGTTAATATATTTATATTTATTCTCAGTCATCTTGTTCACATGTATATCATATTACATGAAATTATTATCATCAGAAGAAGAATCACTGTTGAGCTGTTATATTTAATATGAAATGGCAATGGATTTTGTGGGTTCAAGTGTGAAACTCGCACTTGGTTCCTTAAATCTGCTGTTTATATATTTTTTTTATATTATATTTTATTTATAAACATTGGTTCAGATTGAAAACAAGTACTTGATAAGGTACGTTACATAGTATACGCTGCAAGCGAGCGGCACGATGTTTTGCAACAAAAGTGGATGGCTGTCGACAGTCACATTGCGTCGTACCATGTGAGTCTCTTGCAATGTAGATATGGTGTAATACCTATGGGAATTATTGAGCTGTGAAGAGAATCGCAACTGTAAATAAGGGCCGCGTTCGGAGATGCCGTTTTTGACCGCTTTATTGTACATTGAAAAAGGATGTTGGTCCAGCACAGGCAAACGGAAATGCTGTAACCAAGTGAGAATTAAGCACAGAAGTGTGTTTTTCCTCTTCTGTTGCATTTCCTCCTGGCATTTTTTGAGGAATTGTTCAACTGTGTATTTATAATTCGACTGGGTTTGTCACCGAATATAACTGTGATGTACAGATGATGTATTATTCAGAAAGTAACACCGTGTTACTGGATTTGCACCTTGTATAATTTTATTCTTATATAAGATTATTTGCTGGCAGTGGCGCAGCCTGTAGTACCTTGTATTATTTAAATTGTAATATTCAGGGGCCATGTGTTGTAAATATGGAATATTGCCTTTGAATGTGAATGATTGCTGTAATTATTTGCTAGATTTGTATGTGTCCTAATCAGGTCACTTAAATTATATCAGATTCAATGTTTATGCCCTTTGGTTTCTACGTACCTTTGTGGAAGCTTGATTCCACCAGGGAGTAAAAAAAAAAAAAAAAGGTAATTGCAACTTTTTTATCTCACAATTAAATTTTTTTTTGTTGCAAGATATAAACTCATAATTGAGAGTTATAAAGTCAGAATTGCGGGATATTAACTCGAGTTATATCTCACAATTCTGACTTTTTTCCCCTCAGAATTGAGCGATATAAACTCGTAATTGCTAGTTTAAAGTCCAAATTGTAAGGTAATACTGACTTTATAACTCTCAATTGTGAGTTTATATTGAAATTCTGATTATAACACGTAATTCTGACATAACTTGCCATTGCAAGCTTATATCGCGCAATTTTGACTTTATAACGCGCAGTTGCGAGTTTATATCTCATAATTCTGACTTAACTTGAAATTGCAAGCTTATATCTCATAATTCTGACTTTATAACACACAATTGCAAGCTTATATCTCATAATTCTGACTTTATAACACACAATTGCGAGTTTATATCTCATAATTCTGACTTTACAACTCGCAAATGCGAGTTTACATCTCATAATTCTGACTTAACTTACAGTTGCAAGTTTATATCTTGTAATTCTGACTTAACTTACAATTGCAAGCTTATATCTCATAATTCTGACTTTATAACACACAATTGCGAGTTTATATCTCATAATTCTGACATAACTTACAATTGCAAGTTTATATCTTGTAATTCTGACTTAACTTACAATTGCAAGTTTATATCTCATAATTCTGACTTAACTTACAATTGCAAGTTTATATCTCATAATTCTGACTTAACTTACAATTGCAAGTTTATATCTTGTAATTCTGACTTAACTTACAATTGCAAGTTTATATCTTGTAATTCTGACTTAACTTACAATTGCAAGTTTATATCTCATAATTCTGACATAACTTACAATTGCAAGTTTATATCTTGTAATTCTGACTTATCACACAAAGGCAAGTTTTCAAATAAAAGTCGCAATTACCTCTTTTATTTTTTTATTCCATGACAGAAACAACCTTCCATCAACCTTTCATGAAACTGGAGGATGTTGAGGAGAAAATGAAGTCTCATAATAAAAGTATACGCGAAGATTAACATCTTTCTGCTTCTGTTTCTGACAGACTGTTGGTAGCATGTGCAAGACAGCAGTGCTAAGACAACAGCTCCCAGTAGACTTTCCCTGTCTTTTACAGTTGGGTCTCTCATGCATGCTGGCTGTTTACATTTCTCAACATCTTGCAGCGCTGAAACGAGGTCACACTGAATGAACTCGCTGTTCAGCTTTCCAGGTCTTAGGTAAACATACAGTAAGAGAATGCCCACAGGCATTTCCTACGCAGAAAAACATCAGCTATGAGAAACACATCTCACCTAGCAATAGCAGGACCATCAAGTGATGATAAATGCCTGCTATTCGCTGTACTGTCTTTTGTATTATCAATCTTCACACGGCTCTCTCAAATGATCTTCAGTCTATACTAATTGCACATGAGAACACAATTGCATAGCACTGAAGCAGATAAATGATAATCTGATTAAACCACAGAAATATGAACTGAATCACTACTGAACTAACTAGCCATTGAAATATGAACTTTATTTGTCTTTGTCTGACTGAACCATTCAAATATGAACTGTTTTACCTGTATATGATTAAACTATTGAAATGTTATCTGTTTTACTTGTGTTTATCAAACTAATCTCTGGAAATGTTAACCATTTTACTAGTGTTTTTTTTTCTGAATAGACCATACAAATACTGTCTTTATCACTGTGGAAGACCATTTCCATCACATAAGAAAAAAAAGTATGCTTTTGTAAATTATAATTATGACATAAAAAGTAAGGTTTCTGAGAAGAAATTACATAAATATGAAATAAAGTCATAATAATGAGACGAAAAGCAAAATTATTACAAAACAAAGATGAAATTATGAGTCAATTGTGGCAAAGATTACGACTTTCATAATGATATGACAGAATTTGTACGTACCGGTAGTTTATCATCAGAGTTTTATCTCATAATTACGAATGTATTTTATAATTTCGATGTTTTGTCATAACTGACTTTTTTCCCCCTCATAATTTAGATTTTTTTTAATCTCAATTATACCTTGTCATAATTGATTTAGTCATTTATAATTTCAGCTTTTTATCTGGTAATTACTTTGTGGACTTTTATCTCACAACAATTTTGACTTTTTATGTTGTGTTGTTATGTTGTGTCTTTTTATGTTGACTCAGCAAACCAAAGAATGCCTTTTTTCTTCTTCACATGTGACAGAAATTGGCTTCAATACTTATCTGTCTTCTAAATCGTTGTATTAACAATTTGACAAAAAAGGTGTTCATCTGACTAAACAATTTAAGTAGCCTACCAAGTGGTTTTACTAGTGTTTAATACTACTGTACACTCTCTTTGACAGTCAAGTCAAGTCAAGTCAAGTCACATTTATTTATATAGCGCTTTTCACAATACAGATTGCATCAAAGCAGCTTCACAGTGATAACATGAAAGTAGTACAACACAGTTCAATAATATTGTTGAATATTAAATATCCCCAACTAAGCAAGCCAAAAGCAAGGCGACAGTGGCAAGGAACCAAAACTCCATCAGATTGGATGGAGAAAAAAACCTTGGGAGAACCCAGGCTAGTCAGGGGCCAGTTCTCCTCTGGCTAACAATCATAGGGTTTTAAAGAAGCTTTACAGTAAGTCCATATCAGAGAGTACCTGGAAAAAATACATTTAGTTAATCATGTAATATTTAGGGGATAACAGTCATAAATGTATGTCTATAATCATGTGGCTGTTAAAAAAAAAAAATCATGTGGCTGTTTTAAACGCATAAACAACAATGACATAATTGTTCAAAACGTACAGAGCTGCCTAGCTAGGATGCGCATCACGGCGCGTGCAGTATTCTTGGGTGGCAAAAGTGCGGTCTAGATAGACAGCACTGTGTGTATGGTGACGGAGCCTGTGTGAAGGGAGGGCTCAGGGCACAGCGGCTCTCAAACTCCCTACACACACTTCCTGCTCTAGTCTCGTTCTGAGTCAGCTCAGTTCCATCAGTCGACAGCCAGTCAGCGGGAGCGCAGAGGAGGGATGGCGGAGAAGAGCCCTGACCCGAGCGGCTCGAATGGTCGGAGGTGTCCCGTTCTTTTTCCCGGTGAGAGACTGCAGCCGTCGGGAAGCGGCTCGTCCAAATGGGTTCGTCTGAACGTCGGCGGCACGTACTTTCTCACAACGAGACAAACGCTGTGCAGAGACCCGAAATCTTTCCTGTACCGCCTGTGCCAGGCCGACCCCGACCTCGACTCTGACAAGGTATTTATACCGCGAGCTCTTTACTAGCATGACAGTGAACACTAACCGCGACTTCACGTATCCGGACTTTAGGCAAATCAGTTGCACTGTGTAGACGCAAAATAATGGGTTTATAGTCTAACATTTCGCTATATTGATGTGTTTTACTATTTTAGCTGGACGGCTAGCTAGTAAAGTTACAGTCAACGGAGCTCCGCTTACTAGCTTAGCTTAACTGATAACACTTGATGTGGCTTGTTTACTAATTAAAGTTAGCTGTAGTCTGTCAGATATGTTCAAAGAGGCTGCTTGTAGTATATTTTGATTAGCATTAGCTCGTTTAAATATGAAAATACATCGCCTATAGTTCTTATATCAGTACAAACTTGCATGCTACATGACATGTCAAGTGCTAATTGCAGAACTTTCATTACTGTTTTCACTAAACTTTAAATAATAAAAATATTACAAAGATTACAAGCTTTTACCTGTTTAACAGTTTGACTTTTTTTCTGACTGGATACCTAGAAATATTAACTAAGTTCCTAGCTATAAACCATTGAAATGCTAGTATAATAACTTACGTCTTTACCATTAATTAAAATCATTAGTTAACATGAATTAATAATAAGCAATACTCTTACAGCATTTATTAATCTTGGTTCGTGTCTAGATATGGTGCTGCTTGTAGTATATTTTGATTAGCATTAGCTCGTTTAAATATGAAAATACAAAAATACATCGCCTTTAGTTCTTATATCAGTACATACTTGCATGCTACATGTCAAGTGCTAATTTCAGAACTTTAATTACGGTTTTCACAAGCCTTAAATAATAAAAATATTACAAAGATTACAAGCTTTTGCCTATTTAACAGTTTGACTTTTTTTCCTGACTGGATACCTAGAAATATTAACTAAGTTTCTAGCTATATTAAACCATTGAAATGCTGGTAACTGTTTATTAACTTACGTCTTTACCATTAATTAAAATCATTAGTTAACATGAATTAATAAGCAATACTCTTACAGCATTTATTAATCTTGGTTCGTGTCTAGATATGGTGCAATTTGAACTTGAATATTTTGAATTAAAATGAATATGAACATTAATAATATGAACATTAATACCGGTATGAATATATTGAGTTGAATATTTTAACACTAATGCATTATTAACTAACAATTCATGATAATATATTTATTAACATTATATGGTTATTAAATGCTGATTATTGCTGAAAAGTTTGCTCATTGTTCATTTATAATAGCTAATGCATCAAGATCCAATGCAAAATATTTAATGTTAAAGGTCCATTGAATTAATATTGTTTTTAAGCTTTTAGTATGAATATGTTAGCCTTAATTAATAAATAGCTGCAGGGTTATGAAATGTCATTCTCCTGTATATACAGTACCAATCCGCATTTTGCACACTTATTATTCATTAGGGCTGTAACGATACACCAAACCCACGATTCGATTCGTATCACGATTTTTGACCCACGATTCGATTCGTATCGCGATTCTATCACGGGGCGGGGCTTGTGGTGAAAAAAAGAGATTTTGAGAGAAGAAAAAAAATACCGGTATTTTTATTAAATAACATCAGGAAAAACCTGTATAATCTAAACACCAAAGAACAATAATAAGTATCCAAATTATTAAACTATACTAGGCAGTGTAGGCTGCTGCTTTTGGGCTGTGTTCTGTACTCCAACTAAATTGATTTCGGGATGGTGCCGTAGGATATGCATCTGCATGTTGGACGTGTTGCCGGTCAATTGAGGATTCATTTAATGCACTTTCTGAGAATTTATATTTCAAGTTTTGGCTGCAAATTTCACGTCCATAATGCTGAAATTGCCAAATTTTAAATAATTTATCCTCAACTAGTTTTGTGGTGTAGGTCTACGTATTTTATAATGTTAACTTCAAATAATACTAATAGTAATTTAAAGATGTGGTAGTTCTCAGGGCCTGAATTTCGTTTTGGAAAATGGGGGGATCCCCATTTGCCAAAAACGATCTCCCCTTTAGATGATTCTCATGGGGGGGATTTTTTTTGTTTGAGGGGGAGAAAGGGGGGGCATTTTTTCCAAACAAAATTATTACATTTATCTTGCCTAAATGTTTGCGCTCATTGCATTTTTACAATGGGGTAATATTGTTGTTAAGAATTTACACATCACAAGGAAGCTTGATTTAAATTGTTTAATTAAATTGAAAAAAAGTAGCACAAATAAATACAATAGAATAAAGATACAAATAAAGACAATTAAAGAGAAAAGTTTTGAATAGGTCTAACACTAGTATTCATATACAGAAACTGAATAAAGTAATCAAATGGAAAATAACACTGGGTAGTATTTTAGTCCTGAATAAATTAAATAAATAGGCTATTAATCCTGATTCCTTTAACTTAAAGCTATCTTTTGTTGTTTGACAACAAAATTAATGACAGACACATATGGCTGCCGTCACTTTAAGAGCTAGTGCACGGATCCTGTGTTCATTACTGGCATGCGTTTTATGCTTATTAAAGACAAAACCAACTATATTTAGAGTATAGCCTACTCACAAAGACCGAAATTGACAATTTTGCGTGTTAAAGCAATATAATCCGCGAAAAATAGTTACTAGCCAGCTGTTTTTGAGGCGGATTTTCTATAAATGAGCGCATAGAAAATAATCTCAGAGAGCGCGCGAGCACTGATTAGTTTAAAATCGCTTGAATGTTTAAACTGGTAAGACTTAAATAGACTTCAGTCACGATGCATTGCTGGCCCGATTGTGCAAGTGAATATTCCGTCATGTCCCGACCTTACAGTCTATGGTCCCGACTCCTGAACACGAGTGTGTATTATCGCCGCAGCTCTTGATGCCTGCCTTGCACAACACATTATGAGAAGAGATAGAAGACGCGCGCGGCACCGCTGAACACTCACGCTGTTTGTGAAATTGCGTCTGGAAGATAGTTGTTAAAAGAATGATTTGATTTTATTATCTGTGTGGATTACAATTGCGGGAATTTCCCGCATTATAAATGGGAGACCTGCGGGAATGATTAGAATTATGCGCAATACCCGCAATCCCGCGCCGAAATTCGAGCCCTGGTTCTGGACAGGAAGTTGGAAGGGGTGTGATCGCGATTCTGCCTTCTCACATCGCGATACAGGATCGTGGACCTGAGTATCGCGATTTCGATTTTATATCGCGTATCGTTACAGCCCTGTTATTCATTATAAGTAGATTAAGGTTATGAATAAGCTCGTGTGTTCGAAAACAATGACAAAATTCGCATTTAGGAGATAAGCGTTCAAAACTTAGTACGGTAAAATGGATCACGTATTTTTATGACATCACCCCGGACTTCAGCTTCTCATCACATCTTCTGTCCAATCAAATGCTCTCTAGAATCTAAAGCTCCGCCCCCTATGCTTTAAACACTCCACCTGGCCAAAGCAACCGTTCACACGTCACGGAACAATATGGGTTGGAGATGTGAGTTTGGTTGCTCAAACGCTTTTTTATTCCGTTTTCTAACTGTACATTGGTTAAAGGTGCTCTAAGCGATGTCATGTGTTTTTTAGGCCAAAACATTTTTTGTCACATACAGCAAACATCTCCTCACTATCCGCTGGCTGCCTGTCCCCTGAACACACTGTAAAGAAACGCGATCTCTGTAGACAGCCCATGCTTCACAAACAGCACCAAAAACAAACTGCAGCGACCCGCTCCCCAAAACATAACAAACTGTTCCAGCCAATGACCGACAAGAAGGGTTTGGGGGTGTGGTTTGGGGGGTTAGTGTGCGGATGAGGAGGAGGGAGGGTCTAGCTAGCCTCCGTTTTGTTTGACAATAGTTCGAACGTCAACAAGAAGTGACGTCACCCAGGATCGCTTAGAGAACCTTTAAGAATGAAATTGCTAGAATTTATTCACACGTCTACTAACGTTTCATCAGCACTCGGATTCGCTTCCATGGTGGTGTCAAGTACGACTCGCAGTTTGTGAGGTAAACTAAACGCTATTGGCTATTTGAAAAGGGGGAGGAGCCGTTCAATATGTCCCGCCGTAGCTTCCTGTTACAATGGAAATTACGCCAACGCATCATACAAAGCTGCGCGTTCCAATGCACTTCAGTGGGCCTTTAAGTATGCAATCTTATGCTATAAAATATTTTACTACTGCTTATCTGAATATATTAATTATTGTGTTAAACTAGTGTTTATCCAATTAAACCATTTCACTCATTTTTATCTGGTTAAACTAACAATATTAAAAATTATTAATATTATTTATATGGTTTAGTAGAATTGTTTTAAAACTATTTCACAAGTATTTATCAGGAGCAAACAATGGAAACTGTTAGTCAGTTTACTTTGTAAATAAGAATTTAATATAAGTGAAATCAAATATTTTTTTTTTAAGTAATTTTTATTATTTTCTATTGAGTTATTGGTTGTTAAATGCCTTTACCTTACTTTTTTAAGCTGTGAGCAAAACAGTTAATAACTACAAATCTTTTAATACTCGCGCACAACGCATAATAATTTGCAGGAATTGATCCTGAATTGAATTAGCAACCAATTAAACTGGTATAATTAGTGAATGCACTAATATGAATATTTATCATGTCATACAAGTATATACTGGTCTTTTTTTAATTAATCCTCTAGTTTCTTCTATGTGACACAAGAAGAAATAGGGTTGCCTGCATGCTTTTAAACTTTTAAAGGTCAGTATGCATCATTTATTAGGGCAACGGCAGTGGAAAGCTGCTAAAAGACAAATCGTTTCTTATGTTCTCTGCTTAGTCAAAAATATTTCTGATAAATAAAGATGTTTTCATTACAAAAAAATAGGAATTTTAACTGTGAAGTTGCTCTTGCCAATTGCTTTCTTTTAAGGGTAAATGTTGTGGAGTAAAGCTCTCTTCTTTCCTGACCTCAATATTGATCCGTGGTGATCATGTTGTGCTGGAGATGGATCAGCGTCCCTATGGGCTTTGCTGCATGTATGTTAAATGTCAGCCACACCTTGAGTACAGATAAAGTCAGATATACCCTTGAGTACTGATAAGACACTGCTTATTATTTCTTTTAAAATGTTCTATAATTTGAACAAACTATCTGAAAAGGTGGTGAGTCGTTATAGCCAGATTTAATAACCTGCATGATGTTTATTATGCTGCAATCCCTTTGTAGACAAGCATCGTGGTACTGATAATGCTCTTTCCTCATCCAGGATGACACGGGTGCTTATTTGATAGACCGTGATCCCACTTATTTTGGTCCGGTGCTCAACTATCTGAGACATGGGAAGCTGGTGCTGAACAGAGGCCTTGCAGAGGAAGGTATGATGGGAATGCCACCAAGAACTTTAAGATATGTCTGGACATGTTGTTAGATTTCAAATTCAGTTGTAACTTGTTTTTAAGTTCTACATGTTTTGGACAGCAAGCTGTTTTGTCTATGATATGTGGTTTTTATTTAAACATTTCATCTGTAAAATGTTTCTCAGGTGTGCTGGAAGAGGCTGAATTCTACAATATCACTTCATTGATTAAACTGGTTAAAGACAAAATCAGGGAGCGGGATTGTAAAACGGCCCAGGTAAGTCATGTTAAGATTGTGCTACTTCCTGTCTAACAAAACAACTAATCTAAGTGTTTTCACTTTGATATATTTATTCGCAATTGCGAGTTTATCTCACAATGCTGAGAAAAATAGTCAGAATTGCGGGATAGAAACTCACAGTTCTGAGAAAAAATTGTGGGATAGAAACTAGCAGCTCTGAGAAAAATTGTAAGAATTGTGGGATATAAACTATTAGCTCTGAAAAATAAATAGTCAGAATTGTGGGATAGAAAATCGCCATTCTGAAAAATGTCAGAATTGTGGGAAATAAATCTACAGTTCTGAAAAACTAGTCATAATTGTGGGAAATAAACTCAGTTCTGAAAAAGTCGCAATTGCCTTTTTGAATTATTTATTCCCTGGTGGAAACAAGCTTCCTTATCGCCACTTCATGAAGCAGAGCAAATGTATGTGTAAATCTTTCATAAAATCTTCCTGCGTAAAATGTTTAATTGAATGGAATATTTTTATATATAAAAAATATTTTAAAAAAATGTCATTATACAATTTACACACTATTTGTGTTTCATGAATTAGGCCCATTGATACAAAACAAACATATTAACCGGTCTGCATGGTCCTTTCAAAATGCTCCTGCTGTATCCCATGACAAAGGTGTCTGCTGAAATCTGCCTTCTCAGCACCTTAATCTGATGACATTTGTAGGTCTGCAGGAATGACAGAATCATTTTACAATTAAATCAGAGCACCGACAAAAAGAAAGTGTGCCTTGACTTTGCATAATATGGCAGGTTTTTTTGTATTCTCAGTCTTTCTTCTGCCCTCAGCTGCCCGTGAAGCACGTCTACAGAGTCCTACAGTGTCAGGAGGAGGAGCTGACACAGATGGTCTCCACCATGTCAGATGGCTGGAAGTTTGAACAGGTGATTAGAAGCACAACACTGGGATTACTCTCTTGTTTTTAGCACACTGAGGAGTTTTAATTGGAGATGCTCAAAATATCTGTACTATATCGGTTTGTGGCCGAGACTTTACCGTTCAAAGGTTTCGGGTCAATAAGATATCTACATATTTTTTAAGAAAATGGACACATTAAATTGATCGAAAGTAAACGCATTTAAGTTACGAAAGTTTTCTATTTCAAATAAACGTCGTTCTTTGAACGTTCGATTCGAGAGTTCTGAAAAAAAAAAAAACTGTATCGCCGTTTCCACAAAAATATCAAGCAGCACGACTGTTTTCAACGTTGATAGTAATGCATTTATCTTGAGCAGCAAATCTGCATATTAGAATGATTTCTTAAGGATCATGTGACACTGAAGACTGGCTTAATGGCTTCAGAATAGGGGTGCACGATATTGACAAAAAGGTGATATTGCGATATCGATAATGAATATTGCGATATCGATGTTAATTTCGATATTTTTAAACGTATGTGAAACTACAAAAGTTATGGGAAAACGCATCAAAAAAGATTAATAAATAAAACAAGTTCTTACAACATAAGGTTTATTTCAACTGACAGTCATATTGGACTGGTACAACATGAATAAATAAATAATAACCATGTCTACAGAACAGGACATGTTTTACTGGTTGTATGTACACTACAGTGTAAAAAACAATAAATAAAGAGCAAGTCTACAGAACACACCTGGCCACTTTATGCGTTTTCTGTGATCGGATAGCTATCAGATTGTGAAAAGACCAGGTGTAAATACCATCCGAAACGCGTTCGAGACGGATTTGAATCCGATCGCTCAAACCACATCAGGAGGAGGTCTGGGCCGCATTCCTGACGAAACTGGACAAGTGTAAATGTAAAATGAGAACGTGTTACAGGCTACATGTCATGTTATGGCCAGATATGACGACGCGCGTAGCTGCAACACGCATCACCGCAGATGAGTATCTCTTCATCAAGCCAACGCGCAAACGATCGCAAATCAAAGTGAGAGTAAGTCGCAGACGCTTTACACACAATTATCTTCATTAAAAGTAAATAAACGAAATGATCTGAACAGGGCTGTTGCCGTTCTCTCTTACTGCGTTATTTGATTTTGACATTTTAGCTGATGATCGTAAAATGCAGATCATAACTGTTGCTTTCGGTGACGCGCACTCCATTAAATCTGCATAGGCTATAGCGTGGGAATTGACCCTTCGCTAAGCCACGCCCGAAAACCGCCACTGGCCAATCGTGGCTTAGCAACCGTAACTAGGCGCGGGAGGTCTGTCAAGCTTTCGAGCGAGGCAAACATGCCGAAGCGTTGTGTGTATGGATTGTGCAAATCTGATACCCGGTATCCTAAAAGTTTGGACGGTGGGGTGGCATTTTTTCTCTTCCCGAAACCTAAAAGCCAAAGGGGAGAAATCCCGGGCGTGGATCAAGCAGTGTGGAGACCCATTCACAACTAAATGTCGACAGGATCAACAAAAAAAAGACGCCTATTGCTTGGAAATAATGGCGGTTCTTTGTTCATAATGCATATATTTGAACGTAAAATAAGACGATTAAAGGCAAGACGGAGGCTCACTGACATACTTTAAAATATGTTTCAGCATTGTGTTAATCGACGGCGGACGGCCTACTAACGTTAACTTTACCCCTGTAACTTTACCCCAATCCGATCGCGGCTCTCCCGGTGTTAGATTGATGGGTAAACTGTTTGATTTAAATTGATTTGATATTAGATTATTTTCACATTTCACTTACTCTGCTGTGCATGAACATAGCTGTTCAATTTGTGTGTTTCCCATGTGAATGGTCTGCTAAGGAGGCGGCTGCTACTTGCGCTGGGACCTAACGTTATAGGCTTTAGCTTCAATTTTGATGAAATTATTCTCTAATCGGTTGCATATTATGTCGTGGATATATCCCTCGAATGCATACTGCTGTCCCTTTTGTCTTGCTCTCTCAGATATTTCACTTGTTCGCCAAAAATGACTAAATATCTCCTTGGGAATGTCTGACACCGGTGCATTCACACTGTAATAGACGTGGCAGCCGCGAAAGCTTGACAGGCGTAGCAACAGTAACTAAGGAGGGCGGGGCTTAGCGAAGGGTCAATTGAAGATCGGATTTATATCCGTTTTGCAAAAACACATTTATGTGACCAGGTGTAAAAGGAATATCGTTTTGATAAATCAGATAGGTATCCGATCAGTGAAAACGCATGAAGTTGCCAGGTGGCCGGCAAGTGTGTGGGGACTGTGTGGTAGTAGAGCAAGGGAGAAGTGAGAGAGTGACGGCGATTAGCTTTAGAGGGAGTAGCGACTCAGTCATATTGAGAAAAACAAAGTGTCTCCCCTGTTCTTTCTGACCACTGTGGGAAATCTGTTGCATGAAAAGTTAACCCTCTCCTTGATTTCATGTTGTTTATGGAGAAGGAGAATCAGGAAATGAGTCTGGGGAAATGCAACGGTGCATGTCGGACCGGACGCATCATAAACAAAATATCCCATAAATATCGCGAGATTTTCGATATTGATATCGAGCAACGTGATATCGCAATAACGATATTGATTCGATATATCGTGCACCCCTACTTCAGAATAAATATATTCAAATAGAAAATGTATTTTAACTTGTAATGTTTCACAATATTACTGTTTTGCTGAATTTGGTGAGCATAAGAGATTAAATTTTTTTTAATAGTGGTTTGGACAAAATGGTATATAGTTTAACACCAGCCATTTATGGGTTGTCTGCGATGGCATTGTTGGATATATAGTTACCAGCTGATTGGTCTGTGTTAGTGAGTGTTGTACGATGGTATGCAACTTCCAGTGTGGACTGACTAAAGCTGTTGTGGTCATCTGTCGTGTCTGTTGAAGACAGGGTGTAACAACCGTGAATAATGCGCTGGTCTTTAAATGTGATCGTTTGGACATTGTGATCTAAAGCCAGCGGTTAGATGTAACTTACTGATTCAAATTTTGGGATGCTAATTTTACTATTCTTACGGCAGTTTGCAAAACACTTCTCTTTTTCTTTTTTTTTTACCTGCCAGTTAAATCAATGCTTTTTCTTTCTCATAAAACCTATGAACCAACTCAGCTCAGGTTTGTATGAACTGACATCCATCCAGTGAAAACTCCTGTAGTGAATGGGGATGTTTTTCTGTCTATATGTGGTGTAGAGGTGGCGTTGGCCAATGAATGAACCGTGTGGTATAGGAGGGTTTTCCCCAGCACAGTGAGTGAGGTGTGGGGGCTCTCCTGACCTGCTTTTGGCTCGTCCTGAAGTGTTACCTTATATGGGCAGCTGTAAGGTGACAGAATGCCAGGCATTCCCTGTAATGCACCTTTGAAAATGCTGTGGATGGAAGCACCGATAGATACAATGTTGGGTTGTTGTTTCCATCAGCGTTAGATGTCATCATCCATCATAACAGCTGTTAAATATTTAGATTGGAAAATACTTTGCCATTAATGTTGTTGAAATTCTGTCTTACTAAGCCACATAATAAAATTGTGTGTGTGTGTGTGTTTCTATAAGTGTGTGTCTATAAGTGTTTTAAGTATTTTAAGTGCTTGTGTATTTAATAAAAATTAGAGATCCACCGAAATGAAAAATTCTGGGCTGAAGCTGAAAACCTAAAATGTGTTGTTTTTGTGTGTGTTTTTTTTGGGTGGTAAGTAACACTTTACTAATATAACATGCACTATAATGAACTGCATTTCTAAAGCATAATAATCTCTGTTAATGTTAATTTTAACATTTACTAATATATTATTATATACATTTTAAATTAGCTTATTTTTGTATAATTTTATTAATATTAGACTTTAATGAAATTCAGTCATTTTAATGATAATGAATTTTAAAAAATACAAGTCTATATGCCCCGATACTACTTTTTCCAGAACGATACCTATACTTTTATTTTTAGTGCTTGCCCATACCGATTACCGATACCTGTACTTTCATTGCACTTTTAACTTTTAAAAATGTTGGGCAGAGAAGCCAAAAGAATATGAATTGACTTAGCAAATAGATATTTTCTTAGATATGTCTATTTAATAGATATGTCTGTTACACTTTTGTAGTAGGAGCTACTGTTACTTTCACTGTTCATATTATTGCTCTTATCATATTGTATCTTTAATTTAATAGCAAGGTTAATATTTAGAGTTGCTTCAGCGGGGCTTAACTAGTCAAGAGCAGTGAGTGATTTTCTCAGTCTATAAAGACGCAACTTTATATTCATTAAATAAAACACAACATAATCCACTAATTTAAAACTTTTTAAATACCGGTAATATAAACATCTATTATATAACCTTTATTTGACTTATGAACATCTAAGTAATTACAACTCTGTGGAAATTATTAATTATTGAAAGAATATGAGAGAACTTATGTGTAAACGCAGAGATAAAAACAGCGTGCTGTCAGCAGGCATTTCATAATGTAGACCAGCTAAAAATTATTAATTCTTATAACATGCCAAATGAGATGGACTCTGTAATTCGCTGTTTTGTTTATATTTCTGTTGTTTATTGTTCCATTCTCTTTACTCCGTCCTTTAGTGTATTGAACAACACAAACCTTTTACAACTATAGTTTAAACGAATGCTTACATTTATGGGGAGTTGATAGACTCCACTGTTCTTTATTTTATGTTCTCCATTTGAAAGCATTAGACTTTGTAAGTAAATATTTCCTGTTGTTAATATTAATGCTGTTGTTATAAATAAAAAGATGAAACTGGGATATTATTAAGCTACACTTTAGTAATTCAGGTTATTTAGAATGTTTTGTATTTGTTTTTATTTGTTTGAATTTTACATGCATATTCGTTACTTGTTTGTTTACTTGATCAAAGATAAAAAAAAAAGGCAGTTTGGTGACAGTGCACTATATTCTTAATTGTAAGTGTGTTTTGGTTTGTATGCAAGGAGGGAGTGTAATTGGAGAAATTACAGTATTTAAAAAGTGTTAAAACAGTTTGTTTCGTTCAGCGCTGTTGTTATAATTGTCAAAAACTGAAAACCATAAATTAATATCAGTTCAATATATCGGGCAGACGGACACATAATCAAGCAAATATTTGGTATCGGTTTTGAAATATCAATATCGGTTGATCTCTAGTTTTTTAGTGATACATGTGATGTTTGCTTTGTTTAAAGTTGAGATCAATATGATCAGTGCATCTAGTAGGAGCAGTGGAAAATGTTTTTGGAAGGTTGCTTTTATTTGACTAGCATGCTAAACATTGTTTGCCTTTATTTTTGCATATGCATGCGCTTGTGGTGGAAGGGTAACACAGAAACGAAGTGTAGGCTTCATGCTTGGATTGTTTAAGGGACAAGATGTAATTTGTGGTGCGAATGGGGGGTTCGGTGCTCGAGTGCGTTCATCCCTAGTCAGTAGCAGGTGTGAGGAAGTGTCTGTGGTTTAACAACCTGTGGTGAGTGAAGCATCCAAGGCAGTGGTTCTCAACCAGGGGACCTCAAGATGACTTAAAGGGGTCCTATTGTGCTGCTTTACAGGTTGATCATTTTGTTTATGGGGTCTAATAGAATACGTTTACATCATTTATTGTTCAAAAAAAACAATTTTTCGTATTTACTTTTGTTGCCCCAAAGCCCCATATGTTTTCACCCTCTGTCTGAACGCTGAGAGAAAGTAAAAATGTAAAAAAGCATATTAGGACCCTTTTAAAATAAGGCAAACACAAGCATGAAAATGGGCTAAAACTAGAGATGTCAAAAGTACACACTTCGGTACCAAGTCTGTACTGAAATGTACAAAAATGGACTATACCAGCATTTCCCTCTAGCATTTTGAGCGCTGCTGAACGCATTCTAGTCATTGTGTTAATATATGTCTATAAACACTGGAGCGTTTGAAAGCAGGCATCTATCAGCGAATCCCTAATATATCCACTGATAGACAGATCCGCTTTCAAACGCTCCCATCATAGACATATGTTTGTGGCGCTCAGTGACTGTCTGTCTACAACTCTGCATAGCCTTACTGAACGCGCTGATGACATGTGATGTCTGCGTGAGCAGGGTCCCAAGAACTATGGAAATGCATATGTTGACAGACAATGATTGCACGCACATTTTTTGGTCCTGAGACTTCCACAGAACATAAATGTGCATGTTTTAATATTTTGACCACTTTAGGGGTGTGCGATATCACGATTTTTGATCTTTAACGATTTTTTTTCTGCTTTTGAAGAAATATCGTAGTATTGTGCTACAGTGAGTGCGTTCTATCAGTTGCAGTTCCGGCGCCTCCATCTCAACATACTGTACAACGCGACGTACATTCACAAATGTTAACGCAGAGATACGGGACACTGCAGTTCACAAAAGTACACTGTTTGCATGTGCTTTAAAGCCTTGCCGGTTAAACATTTCATTCGCGTGTTGATGCGCTGTTCTAACATGCACTTTTCTGAGCACATAAAGTGCACACACTAAAAGCCTGTCAAACAGCGCCTGGTTACAAGTTATCTTTCGAGCCCTATTCCGCTAATACTGTCAAATACACACAAGGTTTACATAAACACAGTTGGTTATGTCTAAAGTGATAGCAAACTGAAATTTAGAGAGAAAATATGGGGAAAATTCTGTCATCAACAATGTTGTTCCAAACCTGTATTAATTTCTTTCTTGTGCTGAACACAAAAAAAGATATTTTGAAGAATGTGGCTAACCATACAGTTGCTGGTCACAACTGACTCATATTTGTTCAATTAATTTCTTGAATGCTACTGTTAAATAAAGCACTGTTTATTTCATTAGTAATTAGTATATTAAGTTGTGTATGTGTAATGTGTACATCTGTTCTTATTTTTAATGACAAAGCAAATAATGACACAGATTTTTTACCTTCGCCACTTTGGCCTAAAAGTCTGCAATTATTTTTTTATTTGATATTTTGTTACCTTGTAAGGCTTTGTTTTTAAAATAGGGACATTGGTTTGGCTGTAATGCTCAGTCACCTGCAAAATAGTCGAACCAACATAAAAAAGAATCGTGATAAAATCATGAATCGTGATTTTCCTGAAGAAAAAAAACGTGATATGATATTTTTGCCACATTGCACACCCCTAGACCACTTTTATTATTAATTGCTATCAGGATGAGAAGAGAGTATCAACCAGTATAACAAAAAATGTTTATAAAACAAATTGCCTACCCTACTTTTAATGCAAACATGTTTTTCTTTATTTTCTTTTGATTTTTGCGGTTTTACACATTATTATCAGGCAACAACTGAATATATTGTATCATAGTCAAATCAGTTCACTATGGAAATACTGTCGTCATGTGTTTTCCTTTCCTCTCTCCTGGCAGTTGGTTAGTATCGGCTCTTCGTACAACTATGGAAATGAGGATCAAGCTGAGTTCCTCTGCGTGGTCTCTAAGGAGCTGCACAATCAGTCATACGGCACAAACAGCGAGCCCAGTGAAAAGGCCAAGGTGAGGATAACAGAACCCTTTTACAGTCTCCCATGCACTCTTCCCTCGTGCACGGACAGAAATAGTCACTTGCGCACAGATCGTAAGAAAATATCCCACAGCCCTGCTCTTCAGATGGTCACATGGCATAACAGTACTCAAAGAGTTGATTAACCAGATCAAATGTGTTCATGCCTGAGTGTTTTGTTTCCCTGCATGCTGTGCACACTGAGGATATGGAAATATAAATATATATTTTTTCCAGTATTTCTTGGTGAGGCATCATTTACATATCACTTAAGCTGATAATTAGGTCTCTGCTGAATGCTGAAGGCAGTGTCACTCGCTCGCTCCCTCCCTCTCTGAATCTCTGTTGCTAGTGCTCAATTTGACGCATGCTGTCTGGCTGTACTCGTGCCTATTAGAAAGCCCTAGAAGTATATCCTTAGCTCATCTAGTCTGCTTTTCTCTCCCAGATAATGATGGAAAACCTGCTCAATGTTTAATGCACCCCCACCCCTCAGGTCAACAGAGGTCATGCACTGTAATAAACACATTGGAGTGAGATCACCAAGGCATTGTTGTACGTTTCCTGTGAGGTCCACACAATCGCTTGAACAAATAAGCAAAGGCCTCACGTTTAGGGCCGGGGGATATAGCAAAATAAAAGTCATATATGATTTTCATATATTCAGTATACATCTTTATTTATTTGCTGTGCTGTGACTTAAGGGTAAATATTTTTAGTATTATTATTTTTTTCAATTTCAACCAAACTGCCATTAGCCAAGTAGTAAAACACAGTAGAACATTAGTAAAATTCCAATATACATATATTTATATATTTTTTATTTTAGTTATATTATAATTGTATTCATATTTTATTATGTATATTTTATTTTCAGTTTCCATATTATTCCATATTTTTAGTAGTTTTGTGATTTATTTTTAAAAAATTTTTTAAATATTATTATTTAATGATTTATTTTATTTCAGATATAGTTTAATTTAATTAGTTTAAACTTATTTTAGTTTATTGCCAAGGCAACATTTCTAATTTTTAATTTACTTAAAGTTTTTCAACTAATGTTTATATTTTATTTTATTTTAAAACAAATGTTTTTAATAGTTTTAGTTAACAATAATAACCCTTATTATTATTATTATTAAACAACATACAGCCATAATTTAAAATGTTTTCATAAATATGTACTCTGCAGATACTTCTTTGAACATTTGAGAGTAATGCCAGTCGATTCAGTGTTGAAGTGATGTGCAGAAATTAACCAAACTGATTCTCTTTTTCTTTTTTTTTTGTGATGAATTTTAAATCTTATTTTGAATATTTAATAAGTCTGCCCCTGTTTTATCTAGACATTGCTGACTTTCATTCTCCACTCCATCCATTAACCTCTCTTGTTCCTCTCTTACAGATTCTTCAAGAACAAGGCTCTCGAATGTGAAACAACTGTTTTATTTCCTCCGGTCCTGCAGTTGCCGGGCAAAACAACGTGCACCATATCACACCGAGAGAGAAATTTGACAAGCGGAATGACAACCTATTTAAAGTGGATGTTCTGTTTTGATTTCGAATAATTGACACTTGTTTGTGCCTGCACAGTTATACCGGACTGTTGGTTCTTGACATCGGCAGATCTATCTGAATCGTTTTGTTTGAAAGGTAGGAATATGCACGTCATTAGTAAGCTGAGCAAAAAGGGCCTCAATCACGTCTGGTCCAATCATATTTACTCAGGGTCTCTAATCGACTTTCACAAAATATGTTTATCACATCATTTGTGGTCCAATGAGCAATTTTGTCAAAAAAAATAAAAAAATATATATATATTTAAAACTGTATATATTATGCCAGGAAGTTAAATCTCATCATTTGACATTATAATTAAGAGTGAAAAAAGTATTTTTGATTGAGATTACAATATTCAGATGGCTTATGTGTAACGTTGACTGGTAAGGAATGGTGGATTTTTATAGCAAGGATTTTTGTTTTAGCATGTTTGTAGGAACAGATGAGATGATTTTGTTGATTTTTTTTTTTACTTGCGTAGTGTTAGTTTTTATACCAGAAGGGTGAAAGAACATCCATAACAGTTTGCCTCAAAGTTTCCTCACGTTTTGTGAGGTTTTGCTGTTGCTGCCTTGAGTTGGTTAAAAACAGAACAGAAAAATGTTTGTCTTCCATCCCCACATTCATTCCATTAGGATTTTTGTTAAACTGGAACTTTTATTTAAATGTTTTTTTTTTTTCATGACCCCAAAAAAAAACACCCGACACTGTTAACAAATGAAACGCGTTGACTTTGTGAAAGAGATGTTTATAGCTAGATTTGGTTTAGATGGAGAATTAAGGCAAGGCTACAAAGGAATTGAGCCTGATTTGTTTTGGCAATACCGTTTCGAACAACGCTTTACTTACATGACAGTGACTGTTAATTAGTGGTGTTGTAGGGCGTCTTTTGTTCACACTTTGGTAAGTGATGGAGACCGAAAGGGCACTTCTAGAAGAGTGAAAAAATATTATCCACATAGTTTAACACTGCAGTTTTTGATTTGCTTTGTTTCAACTTGTTCAAGTTGAATTTAGATTCCAAATATACATAATCCTGTAGTTTTATTTTAAAAAAATAATAATATTTTGACAATGTTGCCTTTAACGAACCTACACAAGATCTGAATTTCATTTGGAATTGTGGTCAGGGAAATAACACATCACTTTTGCTAGGCTAAAAGCATATCTATTTGACGTTGTGTATATAGACTAAAGAGCATAATATTCAGTGCATGTTATTTTTCCTAATCCTCTCACACACACACACACACACACACACACACAAAGGGCTTTTACTAGTGGAATACAAGCTATAATTTTTTGCAGAGATTCATCCGATCTCTTAATATTGCCTGATCAAGGCGAAGTTTACATGGCTAGTGTTTTATAACAATAATACTACACGTTTACTTACCTTGACTATGTGACACCACATTCTAGTTTGGTTTCAAGAACTGTATGTTTACATATCCTCTCAATTACCTAGTTAGTTACTGTCAACCTTGTGTCTTAGCAGCTAGAGAGGAGGTTTGGGTCCTTATCAGTGGAGTGTTCTGTTGCTTGCTCACTGAGTCAGTGTCTCGTGGTGAAATGTGCCTCTGTTAAAGCCTCCGAGGCTCCACACAGTGCGTGGCATCCAGACAGCGCACTGAAAACACCCATCGCTCACCGCCGACGTCCAGGCCGAGACACTGGAGAGTGATGGTTATCATCACTGTGTAGGGCGCTGCAGCCCTTAAACTCGTTTTTTTTTTAACGTCCTGCCTCCCAGATCTTGGTGGAGAAAGTAGGATGTGCACACTGATGCACCGATCACACGTCTCCATTATGCCTGCTTGCATTAACTCGTTTCTGATGGGCACCAGTTTTGTTTTGTTTTCCTGAGGCGGGCATGGGTGTCTGATGTCATGCCTCCGATTTTTCTTTTTCTTTCGTTCTCCATTAAAAGCGTGCAATCTGCAAAATGTATTTTGAAAATGGGCAGAAGCGGACTGATATGTCTTTTGCTCCACTTTGTCACTGCTGTTCCTATACTCTATTATCCTATAACATGTTTTTGTATTTGTATTTTTTTTATTATGCTTACAATTTGTGTATTCACATAGTATATTATATATGTAATTGCAAGTTACGACCGGGGAAAATGTATATGATGGTAATGCTAGAACCTGGTCAAACTAAATAAACACTTTTGAATTCTGAAGTGTTTATTTTTTTTTCCTTTTGTTTTCCTTCTAGTTGAAATACTGATATGCATCCTTTCTGCATTTTTAACACAGACTTAAATGCATAAAACAACGACAAAAAAAAAGTATAACTTCAAAGTTTTGAGCAGAGATTTAAATTGCTGGAAATATAAGTATTACAAAAAAATAAGTATTACACTTATGAATTTATGATCTTTGACTACAGGACATTTGTGGGAAGGGTATGAATTAAGCCTGTTTGAGTCTAGAAATGCTGCGCTGTAGTGACACAACTGGCACAGCAGAGGGCATTTGTTATGTATTTTAGAGTTGGAACATGTAAGATAACGTAGATCCTAAACTAGGTGTTTTCTGACCCAAAAGGCTTGCAAAATATAATGATGATCCAAAAATGAAAATATGAAGACAGCCATATATTTTAATGAAAAAAGCATAAATAAATTAAAATGGATTTTATACTGTCAAAGCCTATATATGTTTACATATATGTCTCCTTGAAGTTCTTATTGGATTCAGTTAATGGTTATTTCAGGTGCAACATTCTTTGCTGCAATTCCCTTGCATGTGAGGCCATTTTAATGCAAAGCAATGATGGCTTCACTTCTTTCTTTGGAGGTAACCATTGCTAACACAAGAACACTATGATTGCAGCACTTCTTCCTTTCATTTCATCAATCAGTCTGCTCTTATAATGATAGTGCTGACGATATGATTAGTCAAGTCAAGTCACTTTGTACCAGGGCCAAAAAACAGTGAAATTGTTTTCCACTTTTTTTTCTCTTCTCTAAAAGTTTCCACATACCTCCTTGCACCCTCCTTGTGGCCCTTTGGAGGTCCCAAACACTTTTTTTTATTTTTTATTTTTTATTTAAGAATAACTGCACCACCCACTACAATATCCTAAGTACTCTGGCATTCATAAATACTCTCATTGCCTTTTAACAAACGTGCCCTTGTTTATGTGTTTGATTGCACAAAACATTGGGGTGCATTCGCTCATGCATAACCAGGGAGCCTGGTACAGGTGCACTTGTGCAATTTCCCATGATATTTCAACAAGCTGCGACACGCTCTTCTGCCTTGTGTATCTCTCTCTGCTTACAGGGTGCGTACTCTATTCAGCAGTGTGGGAATGCCCTGTTCCTCAATGAGTTACTGCACTTTGACTCTTAGCAACAAGCCAGCCAATCCCTCCACAAAACCTGCAGCAAGCTCAGATTTCTATTGGCCAAAATGTCAGAAGTGATAGATTTGTTGGGGAGCAACTCGAGATGTAAGCATTATTAAAGAGAATTTGCCCAAACAGGACAGCCCTGTTACATCTTAACCTGATTAAGTGCCAGTAAGAAAAACAGTGGTTTTGTTGCCAAAGAAAGCTTATGGAGAGATTGTTTTCTCTCAAGATGATATAATGTCTGTCTTTTTTTTTTTATGAAATGAAAGTTATTTATCTTGTCATTTACATGAAAAGGTGATACATGACTTGCCATTGAAATAAATGAGTCATTTTCTGCTTCTGATCTTGGATGTGACATACATCATGCAGTGCTTTGAGAATCCACAGATTTACCAGAATCCACAGGGGGGGGAAAGCAATAAAGATATAAATGAACAGTCATTAAAGGTCATACATTTTTAATACGTGTCCTATATTGAGCATCCCAGCTATTCTGTATTGCCATGCAGAAGAGAAGGGTTTTGTGTGTAGATAGTGTTATGCAGAACGGGTGGACTGCAGGGGGAGAGTGGAGAGGCACACTGAGGTTTCTGCTGGAAAGAGATGCTAGTCTCGTGTTACACCAGACCTCATGTCAAATGACCTTGAATATGTAACAACTGGATCATCTGTGGCAGCAGGCCAAAACCCATCTCAGTTCTCTTGTGCATGCATTATAAATACCATATTTACAAGAATCAAATATCAACATCAACTTACATGTTATTAATAACCTAAGATAAAATGACAGATAGATAGATAGATAGATAGATAGATAGATAGATAGATAGATAGATAGATAGATAGATAGATAGATAGATAAAATGAATGACAGAGAGATAAACAGACAGAACGATAACTGAGGATGAACTAGAGCATAATGTTTCAGTATAAATAGCATCCATACTTTTTTATTAATAAATAAACAAATTGTGAAGATTTCTCTAAAAATACTGTTCTCTAAAAAGACTTCTCTATGCAAAACCACAAAGAGTCTGCTTCCCAAAGCACGAAATTTAGTTGCGCTGAAATCCTGTTTGACAAGATTTTTAAACGAATCTACAACAGGTTGCTGTGCCCTAACTGTAACCGACAGAGCCTCAGAAACACATTATATCCTCTCACATTCTCACATGGAGACTGTACAGTGCTGGTCAAGACAAATCTATGGAAGTAAAATAATGTCAAATGTTTTTGAAATAAAAAGCCTGTTGAATTGCACTACTTGAAAAAAAAATAGGCATTGCATTAACCATGCTTGCATTTTTATGCATTGTATTTTTAGGGCTTGCATTTTTATGGGCTGAAATTCAACATGGTTGAATATTTAAGCTGTGAATATTTCAATTAAAAACATTTCAAACACATTTTCACTATTAAAAATTCAATAATCCATATTCACCATTCATATTTCATTTCCAAAATATTCAAACTGTTTAAAAATACAACCAATAATATTCAACAGGCAATTTTCGGTCCATTTTATTTCGCTTTGCAAATTCGCTTCCACAAATTGAGTTGGTTCAAATTCGACAGTAAATTCAACATTGACGTCCAGGAACTGCAGGAAAAGCAGAAGATTGCCGAGTATAATCTCCATCTGCTGTTAGTCGACCTCACCAGCAGGGGGTGCAAAAGCGCGTGTTGTTGACGAAGACCAGCAAAATTAGAGCAAGTCATTCATTCATAAAACTCATTTACAGCAATGTAAGTTTATTAGTGATTATTATGACGGCTGTTTTTGTTAAATTCGGTGCCTTCACGGTTACTTTTCCTGTGTAGCCTACATGCATATTTCTCTACCGTGAACGAGATCATAATTTTATTCCCCGATGCGGATATACAGATCCAATGTTACATTTTTGAGGTTGACATATATTTCTCTTGGTTGTTTAGTTGCCTTAACTTTATATTGTGGCGATGTGCTGCATGCAGGCTATTAGGGTTTCCCTCAATACTTCAGGATTCCCCTGCTGGACATATAAGCTTAACGTAGCTTAATGGACTAGTGATGTAAAAGTCCAAACTCACAGGCAAGCAGAAGGACTCAGAATAACGCGCACAGCTAAGCGTTTCCCAGTGATAGACTGGCATTAAGTTGGCTTGATGTTGGACATTCGCACATTTAGGGACCGTCTCTAAAGTGTATACGACTTTGGTATACACGTTTCTAACTTCAATAGCATTTGAATAGAACGACTTCCAGTCATAAAACCAACTGTAAGTGTTCATGTAGTGTCAGGCATAATGCGCACCCTTTGGATTTTTGATATTTATTCAAATAAATATAAGTTTGCGATTGAAGTTAGAAACGTACTTGCCAATGTTGTATGCAACTTTAGAGACGGTCCCTAAATGTGCGAATGTCCAATGTCAAGCCAATTTTACATTTAGTCATTTAGCATACGCTTTTATCCAAAGCGATTACAGTTAAACTAACAATAGGAGGACAACAATGTGCAAGTGCTATGATCCCAGTTTAAGCTAATGCAATACACGTAGGCATTTTATATATATATATATATATATATATATATATATATACACTCACCGGCCACTTTATTAGGTACACCTGTCCAACTGCTCGTTAACACTTAATTTCTAAGCAGCCAATCACATGGCGGCAACTCAGTGCATTTAGGCATGTAGACATGGTCAAGACAATCTCCTGCAGTTCAAACCGAGCATCAGTATGGGGAAGAAAGTTGATTTGAGTGACTTTGAACGTGGCATGATTGTTGGTGCCAGAAGGGCTGGTCTGAGTATTTCAGAAACTGCTAATCTACTGGGATTTTCACGCACAACCATCTCTAGGGTTTACAGAGAATGGTCCGAAAAAGAAAAAACATCCAGTGAGCGGCAGTCCTGTGGGCGAAAATGCCTTGTTGATGCTAGAGGTCAGAGGAGAATGGGCCGACTGATTCAAGCTGATAGAAGAGCAACTTTGACTGAAATAACCACTCGTTACAACCGAGGTATGCAGCAAAGCATTTGTGAAGCCACAACACGCACAACCTTGAGGCGGATGGGCTACAACAGCAGAAGACTCCACCGGGTACCACTCATCTCCACTACAAATAGGAAAAAGAGGCTACAATTTGCAAGAGCTCACCAAAATTGAACAGTTGAAGACTGGAAAAATGTTGCCTGGTCTGATGAGTCTCGATTTCTGTTGAGACATTCAGATGTTAGAGTCAGAATTTGGCGTAAACAGAATGAGAACATGGAACCATCATGCCTTGTTACCACTGTGCAGGCTGGTGGTGGTGGTGTAATGGTGTGGGGGATGTTTTCCTGGCACACTTTAGGCCCCTTAGTGCCAATTGGGCATCGTTTAAATGCCATGGCCTACTTGAGCATTGTTTCTGACCATGTCCATCCCTTTATGGCCACCATGTACCCATCCTCTGATGGCTACTTCCACCATGTCACAAAGCTCTAATCATTTCAAATTGGTTTCTTGAACATGACAATGAGTTCACTGTACTAAAATGGCCTCCACAGTCACCAGATCTCAACCCAATAGAGCATCTTTGGGATGTGGTGGAACGGGAGATTCGCATCATGGATGTGCAGCTGACAAATCTGCGGCAACTGTGTGATGCCATCATGTCAATATGGACCAAACTCCCTGAGGAATGCTTCCAGCACCTTGTTGAATCTATGCCACGAAGAATTGAGGCAGTTCTGAAGGCAAAAGGGGGTCCAACCCGTTACTAGCATGGGGTACCTAATAAAGTGGCCGGTGAGTGTGTATATATATATATATATATATATATA